AGTCAAATGGAACAAAACTAGAAATCAGCAACAAAACAACCTACTATAAAATCCTACTAAAAAACAAAACTAAAAATTGCAACATTTATATATGCAGGAAAAATGGCTTATGGCAAAATGATACATTTTCATTTCCTTTCTAGAACACTTTTGAAATGATAAATTATAAAATGTAACAATATAATCGGGGGTTGAGGACTTGAAAACACAGATGTATTATAAAGCTGCACAACGCTGCTGGCTGTGAGGTAAAAGAAAAATCCTCTATGTTTGAATATCAGTATCAAGATTTTGCAAAAGACATTTACTGTTGTGGAAAAGTAAGTAAACAGCACACAGGGACAGTGTACTATTTTCCTACAATTGCATGCAGATCTACACTTACATAAGATAAAAATTTACTGAAACAAAACATACAATGTTACACTAATTATAGGCTATCAAATTCAAAATCACCATAATGAAATGATTCCATAAACAAAGCCCTTGTAAGCATTTAACAATTCCAATTTTTCTATCATGGGAAAGAGAGTAATACTTATTCCAAAGTCAGTTGGCTAGAACTGATTTTTTTTTTCTCTCTTACCTTATAAAATGGAGATAAAATAATTATCTACCTGAGATGATTATTTGGTGATTAAGAAAAATATATGAGAAGTCTTTGCAGGATGCTACTCCCTAGTACACAGAAAATTCTACATACAGTTAAATCATACTGAATCAAACATAAGCTGAAGGTGTTTCTTTATTTCTAACACATTACATTATCTGGCTGTTGGAAATGTTAAAACACTAACATCACTGTATAAAGTATTATAGTCCAATAATATAAAGATGTTGTTTGAGGGTATTATGTATTTGGTAAATACCAAATACTAATGTAATCTCCTTATATTATGGAATTTCTAGACACAATGAACCACACTTAAATTCAAAAAATTTTCAATCAAATAAAGCACTTACATCAATATACTAAAGCTGGTAAGACTAATGTCACTACTGCCAACATCTCTTTAGTTTACATCTTTTCAAGCTGATGCAGACAGGATTTATCTAAATAATTTGATCAATAGTTCTCTTTGAGCTTTCCTTTTTTGCTCTCATTCCCTTGTTACATGATGTTCTTCCCTAGAGATATTTGGTTCTCTCATCTTTTTTTTTTTTTAAAGATTCATTTATTTATGAATATAAGAACTGGGGTACAGGCAAGAGGTGCAGAGGGTGAGGACTCACCAGAGGCAGAGTGGGGAACAGAACAGGCAGAGTGACCAAAGTACACTGCTGAGGGGAGCAGCAGGCAAGTCAGGAGAGGTCTGCCGGACCATGTGGGTATTTCCCTGGCCGGCCAGGGATCAAAATCGTGCTGCAGAGGCTGTGGATTGCTTCAAAGTGCTGTGCTTATTAACCCCTTGCACCACCAGGGAGGCCCATTCCTCCCATCTGTTAGACTTAATTTTAATATTCAGATTTACTAATTTACAGCGCATTCCATTCCCTAGATTCCAGATCCACATTCCATCTGTTTTTCCTAAGTAAATTTAAATTACTTAAATTTTTTTAAAGATTTATTTATTTATTTATACAAGCACTGGGTACAGTCAGAAGCGCGGGAGGGTGAGAGAATTCACCAGAGCCAGAGCAGAGAATATAACAGGCAGACCCACATGAAATACACAGCTGAGGGGAGCAGCAGGTGTGGCAGGAGAGGTCTGCGCGTCATGTGGGACTCTCTCCGACAGCCAGGGATCAAACCGGTGCTGCAGAGGCTGCGGGCAGCTTCGCAGTGCAGTGCTCAACCGCTGCGCCACCAGGAGAGGCCCTAAATTACTTAATTTTACAGGAAATTCAACAGTGTATGGTTCTGTTTTAGTTTTTTCTTTTTTTTTTTAAAGATTTATTTATTTATACAAGAACCAGGGTACACTGAGAGGCGTGGAAGGGTAAGAGAATTCATCAGAGACAGAGTGGGGAGCAAAACAGGCAGACAGATCGAAGACAATGCTGAGGGGAGCAGTGGGCGGGGCAGGAGAAGTCTGTTGCGCCATAGGGGTTTCTCCCTGGCCGGCCAAAAATTGAACCCTCGCAGCAGAGGCTTGTGGACAGCTTCACAGCGCTGCACTCAACCCATTGTGCCACAGGGGAGGCCCAGTTTTGTTTTCTTGATAGAGAAAAATGTCCTCTGGGCCCAGAGACAACTAAAATGTGGTCTGTGGCTTTCATTCATTGAATATTTCTCAATTCTTTACCTTTACCTCCCCTCTCACAATATCAAAGTTGTTTCTTGTCTATTTTTAGAAGTAGTTCTATTTGTAGGCTCTGTGTAAAGAACAAATAGAGTACACCAAAAAGAATCAGTACTGCAAATTCATATATGTGTATGTTTGAAATCTAAGAGCTCCACTGTCAATGGCAGAGGAAAGTCAAAGATCTAACATGACTGAGGTTTTATGCCATCAAATTCCTTCTCTTTTCCAGTTGTCTGTTAATATCTCTACTCCTTATGTTATACCAAACCACTTGAATTTCCCAAACATTCATGTTCTGTGAGGACTGAACAAATTATTCTTGTTCTCAAATGTAAACTCTAAAAAGTCTTTTATAATATGTTATGTTTAGATCAACTACATCTAATTCATAGTTGCCTTTTAGTTTTGAATTAATCAAAGTATGTATTACAATAATTTAAAGACTACACACACACAACTATTTCTGAAGACTGCTAAATTCATGTAATACAATCACAAATTTAGATTGAACAAATGCTACTAGAAAGAAGGTTTAAGTGTTTTACTTAAAAAAGTAGTTTTTGGGTCTCCTTGGTGGCATAAGGGGTTAAGTCTCAGCGCTATCAAGCTATCAGCAGCCACTGAAGCATCAATTCGATCCCCAATCAGGAAGTAACCCATATGGCGCAGCAGACCTCTCCTGACTTCCCTACTGCTCCCCTCAGCAGTGTATTTCAGTCAATCCACCTGTTCTGCTACAGACAGTCTCTGGTGAACTTTCACCCCCCCATAGCTATGGCCTACATCTCAGCTCTTCTATGCATAAATAAATATTTTAAAAAGAAAGACAGACATCTGGATCTACCTTTACAGATTTAGTATCTTCAAGAATGAAAAAATTCTACTCCCTGGTGGCTCAAGGGGTTAGAACATAGCACAATGAAGCTGTCCGCAGCCTCTGCAGCTTGGGTTCGATTCCCGGCCAGGCAGGGAGATACCCACATGGCACAGTAGGTAGATCTCTCCCGTCTTGCCCGCTGCTCCCCTCAGCTGTGTTTTCGGTCCATCTGCCTGTTCTGCTCTCCACTCTGCCTCTGGTGAATCCTCTCACCCTCCTGCGCCTGTGGCCTGTACCCCAGTTCTTGTATGCATAATTAAATAAATCTTTTAAAAAACTATACTTTTAACATATTCCATATCCAATTTGTAAGAATGTTAAAATGATAAAAAGAAAATAGGTAAGAGTTTCGTGTATTTAGCTATAATTCTTATTTTTCCCCAAAGATTTATTTATTTATGCATACAAAAACTGGGGTGTAGGTAGGCCAAAGGTGTGGGGGGTAAGAAGATTCACCAGAGACAGAGTGGGGAGCAAAACAGGCAGATCTACTGAAATACACTGCTGAGGCGAGCAGCAGGTGAAACAGGAGGGGTCGGCTGTGCCATGTGGGTCAGCTCCATGGCTGGGTATGGAACTTGTGCTGCAGTGGCTCACAACAGCTTCACAGTGCTATGTCTTAACCCCTTGAGCCACTGGGGAGGCCCCTACTTAGCTTTATTTCTAAGTGATAACATAGGCTCTCAATTCCAATTCTCTACCCATTTGAAGACTAAATTTCTATAAAGATCTTGACATAATGTAAATATGGATTAGTAAAGAAAACAACTAACCATAAAATTCAGTCAATTCATTTAAATTAATCTTGGCAAAAGTCATCTGAAAAGAGATGAGAAAATAAGATGTATAATACAAAACAGAAGCAGTTAAGAAAAATCAGGTGTAGTTCTACTATTTTATACTCTTTGTTTCCTTATGACTGATTAACTGGTTTAAAAGTTATTCTTATTTTTATTCTCACTGACCTTTATATAGAATCATTTATAAGAGAATAATTCTAAGAATGCAGTAATTTTACCTCAATTAAAACAGAATTACAATTATTTCCTTTAGAAATTACATGTTGTTACATATTGTTAACATTTCAATTCCTGAAAAATCATTATTCATCATTAGTCTAAAAAGCACTTCATCTATGCAATCAGCATGTATTTTACAAAATTTAAAATCCTCCTTAGACATTTGCATTATTTTATTTATAGAATGCTATGAATGCTCCCTGGAAAACTCTTAGAATAATGTGCTAAAATTAGTACATATATTTAGGTCAAATACATCAGAGTAGAGGTAGAAAAGTTATTACTAAATGAGATATTACTGCTAATTAAAAATAATCTGGTAATTAAGTAAAAGCAGCAAGAGACCCTGTTAAAACATACTTGAGATGCAGACTTTGACAATCTCTCCTGTGTCCTTGAACCATTCAGCAAAGAAATTCTAAATCATGTAATTAAAAGTAAAGTTTTTTTAATGGATTTGCTCTTAAAATAGAGCCTATTATTTTGAATTTCTTTTCCACAAATGATAAACATTTATCATACCTACAGTTTACTTTGAAATCTTAACTTTACTATATCTTTTCTATTATTCTTCTTCGATATATATAGCTCATACATACGTATGCATACATATGTGTATGTGCACGTTTTTACTATATATTTTCTACTACATGTTTTGTCCGTAATTATTTATTGGTTACGATTGCAGTAATTTTCACTTGATAAATCAGACTAAAAGACATTTACTTTAAAAATAAGCATACTTTTGTAAGTAATACTTTACAGTAGGCACTGCAAAAACTATCATAAACATGAAAATTAAAAATTTGCGTTATCTTTATACAATTTTATATTCTTATATATTATAAATGTGTGTGAATATATATGTATATATAAAATAGATACAATCAGATTTGAAAATGAAATACAGCTGAGTATTTACAGAGTCTTTAAAACGCAGTGGAAAACCCTTTAAACATTAAACAATTTTCATAAAAGTTTCTGTACAATGCTAGCAGTTTTATTTACACATAGAAAATGTAAAAGGAGTAGTGTTCAAAATTACAGAACTCCTTAATATTTCATGGCAGGTAAATCTTGAAAAAAATAACCACATTCCATTCACAAATATTTTCAAGCAATAAATATATATTCATAAATAGTGAAAATCTGTATCAAGATTAGAAACAAAAAAAAAATCACAAATCTGAAATTTATTCCTTAGTCTATGTGCAATCTATTATCTTTGTGTTCTTGGCCATTAAAAAAAAAAAAAAATTTAATTTTAGAACCAAAATGTAAAAATCACCCAGGCCTCAAAATAATACAGAAAAACATAAAGCAGTTAAACAAAAAAATCACCTCACTTTTCACATTAAAAAGTTGATCAAAGATTTAAAAGTTTAAGTTATTTCAAAGTAATGACTAGATAGTATTTTTTCCCCAGGAAAATTCTGAAAGTGTAAAGTATAATGAAAACTACTTTATTAACCCAGAAATAAACATAAAAATAGGCTGTTTTTTTAAAACTGAAGTCAATTAACATCATTTTTGTCACATATCACAAATCCGGTGATAATTACTGATTATACTTTGAGCTTTAGAGTAGAGGCAGTGCTTCCTTAAGTCCAGTAGGCCGACACTCAGTTCTTAGAAGGTTGCATAGACATAATTTTAATTGACATTATTATAAAATAGCTAAAAAATCAGGAATGCAGAAACTTTACTGAAGAGAGGAAAAGGTGTCATTAAATATTCATGGAACAGTATCAAGAAGAGGAGGATGACAATGGTGGGGCCTAGAATTGGAAAAAAAGGCATGCCAATATATTAGTACATTAATCCTTAACTGTTCTCTAGCTCATGGCTACAAACAACAGAGGTATAAATCACTACTGTTAATGAATTTTCCATGTTCATTTATTCAAAAAGGTTATTAAATTGACCAATGTTTTAAACTGCTAAAAGAATTATGTGGAAAAATAATTTCAAAATTTTACAAGTAATGATTTGTGACTATCTCTCTCAGTGAGTTGAGGTGATGAAATTTCCCTTCTTAAAGCAATCCTGAGAACCACTCAAATGAAAATTACAGAAACTGAATTTCAAAATTTTCCAGCTTGGTATCAGTAACTTAAAAATAACTCTTTCACTCATAAAACATTCAAACAAGAAGTAAATTTTATCCCAAGCTATTTATATTTGAAATTAAAATCTGCGGAATTCACACTATTGTGAATTTCAGTTAGTTTTATACTTAAAGGCTTCAAACAAACACAATTAGCACTAATGCAAATTGAAAAACACAAAGATTTCTTTTTGGATTGTCTTATACTTAACTAAGTAATCTGTGTTTGGTTTTACTAGGTAAATTATCCCAGCAACTACTGTAACATTTTAAAAATATACGAAGATTTTTACTTATTTTTACTTATTTTATTGCTTTATTTTCTTATTCAATGTATCTCCCCCTTGGGTATAGAACTGGTAATCCTCCCACCACAATAGCACCTATAATCCATATTGTCTTGTGCTTGTCCCTCCATTTTGTGCACTTGCCCCAACCTTCCTTGCTGGATGCCTCAAATATTCAGTCAGCTTGCTAGTTTTGTCTTTCTCCTAAGCCTTTGTTCAGTTTTCCTATGTTTCACCAGTGTTTTTCTTTTTTCCTTCTGACTTATTTCCATCATCTCTGTCAGCTCCATCCACGTTGCAGCAAATGGCATTAGTTTATATTTTTTGACTGCCAAGTATTCCATTGTAAAAATACACAAAGCTATTTAAATGTATCAATAGTGAGTATTCCTAGCCCATTTTCACTGAAAAGACAAAATAGTGAAATATACCAATTTTGGAGTTCCAGGAAAACATAGGTATATTTTTCTTACACAAAATCTACTGAGCCACTGGTATATTCCAACTTCCTTTTAATTCCTATGTATCAGGTAGTGAAAACAAACACTGCTGTTTTATAGTATACATCAAATTCACTTACTAATGTAAACTGGTCATAGACTTGCAGTAGATCCTCCATTTTGTACTGTTCTAGCACCACAAAATTGTCCAGACTTCCACTTGTTTTTCGTGCACAGTCTTGACAATGTACTATGTAGGTCTTTTGAGAATTGCTTTCATTAGTGACAAAGAGCAGATTAAAAACCTCCACCTATTTAATAGTAGAGAAAAACCAATAAATAGACATAGAATTTATTACACTACTTTATATATAATCATGATACTCTATTTCACATGAAATTGTGGACAGTGATTTCTCATTATGTTCAAGTAGTTTACATGGTTATATGTTTGAGATATCAGAATTATCTGTAGCACATTCGAAAATGTATTTTATACACACACACACACACACACACACACACACAATAACCTAAGGGGATGAAATAATTATTATAGACACTATCCAGTTATTTTATTTATTTTTTTTTAATTTTTTTTTTCTTTTATAGAGGCATGCTTTATTTATTTATTTATTTGTTTGTTCGTTTGTTTTTTTTGTTTGTACATGCACTGGGTACAGTCAGAAGCGCGGGAGGGTGAGAGAATTCACCAGAGCCAGAGCGGGGAGCAGAGCAGGCAGAAGGACTGAAGTACACTGCTGAGGGGAGCAGCGGGCGGCAGGAGAGGTCTGCGCGCCATGTGGGACCCTCCTCCGGTGGCCGGGGAGCAGCCGGGGATCGAACCGGCGCCGCAGAGGCCGCGGGCAGCTTCGCAACCCAGCGCTCAACCGCTGCGCCACCGGGGAGGCCCTATCCAGTTATTTTAAATTGAAGTCTGAAAAAGGCTAGCCCCAAAATACTAGCATACCATTGATGGAAAATGATCATTACTTTCTTTTTACTTTTTTATAACAGTACTCAGTAGTTTGTGTTTGTTTCTCCTCAATTGAGCGCCATAAGAGTAGTAACTGTTACTCATATAGAGCATATAATGCCTTACTGCTTAATAAAAAAAAAATTTTAAGGGGAAAAAACATTTTTAATACATACCATGATTACTTTTAAGAACTAGATACTGATAAATAATATAAAGTGTTCAGTTATAATTCTCACATATTAAAGAAAACAAAATACAGTGTTTATTTATTAGCATTAATACATTCAGGAAAAGTGAGTACATCTCTTAGTATTTATACACACAGAACAATGAATACCAAACCATCACTCAGGATAATAGATATCCAAATACTACAAAGATACATGCTGATTTACCTATTCACAGTCTTTTTGGCCTTGAAAGGATGTACTTTCAGGAGGTTATACAATATCAAAAAGATATTAGATTAAATCATTATGCAGAATTATTCAATTTTAAGGCGATTTCCTAGTTAAGTGATATTCTGGTTTGTGCATAATTTCTTCACTGATAAAAACTCATCACCTCAAATCATCTTTGAACAGGTTTATTAAAATTCTAAAGTTTCCAGAACTTTTTATCATGATCAAAAGGCAGTAAAGTCTAGTGATCCAAATAACAAGTTATATTATTCTTCGTTTGATCAACTGTTCTAGTTACTTTATTTTTCCAGACTTTTAAACTTCTCCATTTATTTTATATCCCTTTTTTCTATAATATCCTCTTTATATCCCTTTTTTCTTTAGTTTAAAATTTAGTCAGGGGCCTTCCCAGTAGTGCAGCAGGTTGAGCACAGCACTGTGAAGCTGTCTACAGCCTCTGCAGCACAGGTTCAATTCCCAGCCAGCCAGGGAGAGTCCCCACATGGTGCAGCAGACCTCTCCTGTCTCGCCCGCTGCTCCCCTCAGGAGTGTTTTCAGTCGTTCTGTGTGTTCTGCTCCCCTCTCTGTCTCTGGTGAATTCTCTCACCCTCCCACGCCTCTGGCCTGTACCCCAGTTCTTGTATAAATAAATAAATAAATCTTTAAAACAATAAAATCTTAGTCAGCTCCTATTAAGATCATCCCAATGGTTTAAAAATGGACCTCTTCGCTCTCTACCTCTATCTTCTTCAAATATCAACCACTAATCTCTGAAACAAACACCTTGATTTACTTTCATTCTCAGAAAGTTTTAGAAGTTTCAGTGGCGGCAGAATAAACATAAAATAAATTCAGGTGCCTCTGCAAGCTACACATCTCCATTACCAATGTAAACTCATATTTGGGACAGTCATACACACTGAAATATCTTCTTCAAGTAGAATGTAAGCTCCTCCACCAGAGGTATCACATCTTTATTCTGCACTTCTTGCAAGTTGTGACTATAGCATGCATGCTAGAGAATCAATAAATATATGTAATGAATCAGAAAAAACTTAATACTGATCTGCCTGTATCTGTATCTGCCAGTCTTTTGGCACCTGCTTTTTTTTTTTTTTTTTAGATTTTATTATTATTTTTTTTTACCCCAATCCCTCCCCTCCCCGCCCCCCACCACCCATATAGAGTGTCTCTGGTTCATAGTTGTTGATTTTGATTTTCACTTTCTTATAGTTATTCATTTTCCTGGTCCCTTATTTAAGTTTTCTAGATTCCTGCTATGAGTGAGACCATCCGGTATTTTTCTTTTTCTTTTTGGCTTGTTTCGCTGAGCATGATCCCTTCTAGTGCCATCCATGTTGCTGCAAATTGCACGTGTTTATCTTTTTTGAATGCTGAGTAATATTCCATGGTGTATATGTACCACATCTTCTTGATCCAGTCATCTATTTTTGGGCATTTGGGCTGTTTCCAAAGCTTAACTATTGTAAATAGTGCTGCTATAAACATAGGGGTGCAGGTGGCACCTGCTTTTATGAGTCATTTCCAGTTAAAAATTGAGATGATTATTACTTGGTAATGAATACCTGTTTAGGAGAGTTTTTTTACTTAATATAAAATAAAAATTATACCTTCAAATTAAAATTTAATGTTATCTGTAAGTCAATTTTAATAAAATGTATTACATGAAAGCACATGTAAATTATGTTAAAAAATCCCAGAGAATATCCACAACAAAACAAGTTAATAATAAATTACCTCACATATGCTACAGTAATGTGCTGGTTCTTCATTTGTCCTCCCATGCCATATAACATCTTTACCTGCTGTGATAAGAGCATCCTTCAAAGTCTGACACTGCTTTAGAATTTTCAGAAGACAATACCTGTTGTGGAGAAAAATTATGTCACTGGATAATAGCACAAAAAAAAAAATCCTTCAGAAATAACTTTAGAACCTAGGTTGTAAAGAGGGAGGGGTGAGAACAATATGGGGACAGTGTACAATGGACTATGATGGAGAACTTCGGTTGATCTGGTGGTGAAGTATGCTATAGCACATATACCTGAAAGGGGAGATGTCCAAAATATTAACAGTGATATAAAACAGTGGTACTTCAAAAAGACAATTAAAAAACTGGGGGGGGGGGGAGTCTTGTTTATAAGGTTCTATTGATGTAATTTTTCCTTTTGTCAACTTTTCATATATAGTAAGCCTATTAACTGTAATATTAAAACAATTTCAGAATAGATTTGTATATGAAAGATTTGTACATAAAAATGCAATAATCTTAGCTGACAGAAAACTTACCTTATTTTAAGACATGCTCTTAATTTTTGCTCTGAATTGGGGCAAGCAAAAGTACTTTTCTAAGGGTGAACCTCTTTGTTACTTATGTATTTAAGAGATTTATTCATTTATGCATATAAGAACTGGGGTGCAGGCCAGAGGAGCCTCGTGTGAAAGAATTCACCAGAGAGACTGGGGAGCAGAACAGGTGGATCTACTGAAATACACTGCTGAGAGAAGCAGCAGGCAAGATTAGGAGAGGTCTGATGTCCCTTGTGGGTCAGCTCCCTGGCTGTGTTCAAACTCATGCTTCAGTGGCTGGTGAAAGCTAGACAGCGCTGTCTTTAAACTGCCCCCCATCCCCACCACAAGGAAGCCTCTCTTCATTTTTTAAACAAATGGTATATATTCCAAGCTGCAACGATTTTGATTATAGCATACATACCTGTATTAATTCAAAAACTCCAATGGAAAAAAAGAGTATTAGTCTTCAATTTAAATTTGAATAGTAAGCATAACCAATTCTCACAATTGGTGCTAATTTTCTGATTATATACCACCATTGCCTAGAATTATCTAGTAGTTTCCCATGAACCAGATCGTCTCAAGTTTCCCCCCTAAAGGCACAGTTGTATAACATTACCTATAAGGTACATTTCAGCTCTAAAATTACCCTGAAGAGACTAAAATGGATTTAACACTATAATGTTAACAGTGTTTGTGAAGGGGGCCTCCCTGGTGGTGCAAGGGGTTAAAATGCAACCTATGAAGCTATCTGTAGCCACTGCAGCAGGATTTCAATCTTTGGCCAGGGAGCTACTCACATGGCACAGCAGAACTCTCCTGACTTACCCACTGCTCCCCTCAGCAATGTACTCTGTCTCTGGTGAATCTTCTCACCCCCCCACCACACTGCTGGCCTATACCCCAGTTCTTGTATGAACAAATAAATAAATCTTTACCAAAAAAACCCACAAAAAACCCCACAGTGTTTGTGAATATTATAACCTTCCAGAGTAAGGGCCAAACAAAATTAATAAAGTATTGCTACTGACATAGAACTGGGATTAGTTATGTTTACATAACCTAATGTTTGAAATAATAGCACCATACCAATGTATCTAAAACGACATTGTTTGTCTGCTTGTCTCTCTTTTCCCTCAGAATGTAGGACTCATAACAACAAAGGCTTTATTTACTTGTCAACTGCTGTATGACACTGTTAAGTATAATGCTTAATAAATACTTGCTAAACAGTAATTTTCATAATATGAAAACTAGCAGCTGACAGAATTTCCTTTAATATTTATTACTTGCCAGGTAAACAGGTTTTGCAAAGTCAATACAAGTAAACCTGGATGAAAAGAACTTCAAAATATATATACACACATATAAAAACTAGTTAACTTACTTAAAAATATAAAATAGTGATATCAATTTAAAAGGCTGCGTAAAATATCCTTTAAGTATCATATAGTAATACTGTGTTCAATCTGCCTAAATGATTAATTATTGTTTATTAGTTTATAAACAAAGTGTTGTTTTATTTGATCTTTGACTTCAAAATGACAGTTCTGCAGTACAGTATGGAGTGCATGTTTAAGTTTATAGAGTTACTGGGTATGTCCAAAGAAAAAAAGAGAAAAACAGTTCCAACACAGACAATGTAAATCACTCCAGACACAGGTCATTTACTGATGTCTTTTTTCCTACCATCTCCAAGTGATTTCGCCTATATTACTACTGTATACAAATACACAAAGTTTTAATAGAATGCTCAAAATGTGGGCCTCCCCGGTGGCGCAGTGGTTGAGCGCCAGGTTGCGAAGCTGCCCGCAGCCTCTGTAGCGCCGGTTCGAATCCCCGGCTGCTCTCCGGCCGCTGGGCAAGGGTCCCACATGGCGCGCAGACCTCTCCTGCCGCCCGCTGCTCCCCTCAGCAGTGTATTCCGGTCCTTCTGCCTGCTCTGCTCCCTGCTCTGGCTCTGGTGAATTCTCTCATCCTCCTGCGCTTCTGACTGTACCCAGTGCTTATATATGTAAATAAATAAATCTTTAAAAAAAAAAAAAAAAGAAAGAAATGGTCATTTGATAAGGAAGTGAAAAAGTTTAACTATTAGAATGCTGTAGTGTTGAGAAAGACATGACTGGTCGTTCTTGGCTTTCAAAATGGAAAAGAACACACAGTGGGCAAGAAACAGGCAAAAAAAGATTTTTTTCTATTGCCTCTGAAAAGAAACACAGTCTGGCAAACTCCTTTTTTTACCCAGTAAGACCCATTTAGGCTTGTGACACTCAGAACTTTAAGAAAACAAATCTACATTCTATGCCACTAAATTTGTAGTATTTTTTTTTTAAGATTTATTTATTTATATAAGAACCGGGTACAGGCCAGATGTGCAGGAGGATAAGAGGATTCACCAGAGACACAGCAGGAAACAGAACAGGCAGACTGAAATACATTGCTGAGGGGAGCAGCGGGTGAGACAGGAGAGGTCTACTTCGCCTTGTGGGATTCTCACCGGCCGGCCAGGATCGAACTGGCACTGCAGAGGCTGCAGACAGCTTCACAGCGCTGCGCTTAACCGCCTGCACCACCAAGGAGGCCCTAAATTTGTAGTATTTTGTTGTAGCAGCCATACAAACTAATGTAATATGATAAAGGTTTAGCAATTACATTTCAATAAATAATACAATGTACATCATTTCCAATTTCATTAACATCACTGCTGTTATTAAACTGCAGTTTTTGAGTTTGAAAACACAATAACATATACGCCAAGTGAAACTTTAATACTGCATACACCGAAAACACATGTTTAGACTGGGTAAGACCCATATACTTCCCACACAATCATGTATGATATTAGAAATATTCCTGCTTTCATGAGTAGTAGTAGACTAACTACAAACTACAAGTGGTCAAAGTTTAGTAAACTGCCCTGAGGATCATATGTCACACAAGTAAATAAATGAGGAACCAAGATTAATACACACATTTTGACACTATGGTTTCAACTTCCAATCACTAAGCCTTATGATCCTCTATTTAGTACTTTCATGTGATATTAAATAATTATCTCCTGAGATTCAGACCAGTTGAAAAGGCAAGTAATTCACACAGAAACACAAAACATGGAAGTATATACCCCTGGGGGCCTCCCTGGTGGCGCAGGGATTACAGACACAGGATACAAGCTATCCCCAGCCACTGCAGCACGAGTTTGATCCCCACCAGCCAGGGAGCTAACCCACATGGCAAAGCAGACCTCTCTTGTCTTGCCCACTGCTACCCTCAGCAATGTATTTCAGTAGACCTACCTTTTCTGTTCCCCACTGTCTCTGTGAATCCTCTTACCCCCACATCACTGGCTTGTACCCCAGTTCTTGTATGCATAAATAAATGTCTTTTATATATATATATGAAAACTTAAATAAGGGACCAGGAAAAATAATAACTATAAGAAAGAAAAAATCAAAATCAACAAACAACTATGAACCAGAGACCCTCTGTGGGGGGTGGGGGGTGGGGAGGGGAGGGATTGGGGTCAAAATAAGGGGATTGCAATTGTATGGGGAATATAAAAATAAAATTTATTTAAAAATAAAATACAAGTAAAAAAATATATATCTCTCTCTCCACATGAGATAGAAAATTTATTTTTTATTTATGGATATATTTTTTGAGAACAGAAAAGGCATTTATTGAGTGCACTGCTGAAATACAGGGCAACACAGAAAAGGCAGTCTTCTAATAGCAAATTTTATTTATTTATTTATCTATTTATTTATTTTAAGATTTATTTATTTATACAAGCACTGGGCACGGTCAGAAGCACGAGAAGGTGAGAGGATTCACCAGAGCCAGAGCAGGGGGCAGGAAAGACTGACAAAATACACTGCTGAAGGGAGCAGCGTGCACAGCAGGAGAGGTCTGCATGCAATGTGGGACCCTCGCCGGCGGCTGGGGATCGAACCGGCACTGCAGAGGCTGCAGGCAGCTTCGCAGCCCAGTGCTCAACCGCTACACCACCAGGGAGGCCCCAATACCAAATTTTAAAAGTAAAATTATAAGCAGTGCTTTAGGTGTGAAGCAACAAGTTGACAAAATGACATATAAGGTCTTTTACTTATAATTGTTATTGTTTAAATATAATATATTAATTTTCAGCTACTTTTTTATATTTTATGTATTCTAAAATAGCTATTTCTCTAGTAGACATTGGGGATACATGAAAAATGTGTTCTAGACTAAAAATAATTTTCAACTCTACAAATTTGACATATGTGTATTAAGCTTAAGATTTCCTAATGTTTGGACCTCCCCAGTGGCGCAGCAGTTGAGTACTGGGCTGCAAAACTGCCCGCAGCCTCTGCAGCACTGGTTCAATCCCCGGCCACCGGGCAAGGGTCCCACATGGCGCGCAGACCTCTCCTGCCGCCCTCTGCTCCCCTCAGCAGTATACCTCGGTCCTTCTGCCGCTCTGGCTCTGGTGAATTCTCTCACCCTCCCGCGCTTCTGACTGTACCCAGACCTTGTATTAATAAATAAATAAATCTAAAAAAAAAAAAAAAGATTTCCTTATGTTTAATTTTT